CTGTCCCGTTCTTATGATCCCCAGATGAATTTGCAGAGGTTTTCATCAAGCCCAATGGGCCAGGTTATTCCATGGACCTGGCTGCTTATTTATGTGGTGAAAACATCAAAATTTCTGGGGAGGGGCCATGAACAAGCCTTGTGGAATGACCCTGCAGGACACTGAGCTTTAACCTCTACCTTGTGTCCTCTAAACAAAGCCCAGGAAACCTGGTCAGTGTGCATCAGCGTTTTGTTGTGAAGGGACAATTTTTTAAGGTGAATAGAGATAGTTGGAAAGCAGGAGACCAAGGTTTCTTGTGAAGGTTTGCTCTTGCAGGGGTTGTCCTCAGTAATTTTGTGTGATGGTTTCTTCTGGTTGCTGCCATAGCCTGGATCCTTCCAGGATAGAAGGATGGTCAGAGAACAGTAAAAACTGTGCCCTGCTCAGAGCAGTGTGTTGGCGAGTCATTCTCACCAAGAGATGGGTTTTGGACCTGTGCTATGGTTGTATTGCAATGATCGTAACCTTTTGGGTTTCTAGAGTATTTAATATTGCTTTATAAAAACAAATATGTAAATGTTCCTTGCTAACCCCATGCATGGCCCACACTTTGTTCTTATCAGTGCATTGAAGCCACCAGGCAGGACAGGTGAGCCACCAGGGAGAGGGACCAGCTCAGCCTGGCCCTTGTGCGTGGGCTTTTCTTAGGCTTGGGGTTTGGCCACGACGTACAGACCTGGGGCAGGCAGGAATTTTGACTTCCCTATAATGGTGAAAAATAGTTTACAAGTTTCTTTCTTTAGGAATATTTTCCTGCTGTTTCCTAGTTTGGTAAATGCTTTACCTGTACTTTTTGTGAATAAATGATTTTGCCTGGACCTTGCTGCATGATTTCCTACAAATACATTAGTGACTCAGAGTTAGTTCTCAGGAATAATTGATTTGCATTTGTTACCCACCTTCTGCATCTTGAAGAAATGGAACAGCTCAGGAAAGATGCCTAATTTTGGCTCCTTTGACCCCAGGCTGTCATTGCCCAGTGTCCTGGGCTGTTTTTTGCATGGCTGGTGATCCTGTCACTGAGCAGTGCGGTACCCCGACTCCTGCATGTGTGCTAGTTGTGGTTACAAGCCATACAGTCGACCTTCTGGGTCTCCTGTTTTGCTCTTGTTGCTGTTCTCCATCACATGTTCCTCCTCTGAGAGTCGGCATCCCGTGAAAGAAATCTCCCAGGAGGAAAGGATTTCCTCCCACCGCCTTGCTGTAGTCACCTCATCCTAATGTATTGAGCTCTTATGTGAGTGATGTGATCTGCCTTCTGGTGGCAAAGCCTTCCCATCACATAGAGTAGCTGTAGTGGGAGTGTTTCGCAGGCTTCTTCTGAGGGTCTCCATCTGGAATTTTGGACTATGGATAGATTCATACAGGGATGGGCTGAGGGTGGGAATGGACCCGACTGCTATTATTTCAAGGCGGTGGTACTCATGCAGCTTTCAACCATGGAAGTCCCTGAATGTTTGGTTGCTAGTAAGGTGAGGGCCATGCTAAAAGCACCATCAGCAGGTCGTGTATCATTGAAGCATCCCCCAGAGACCATTGCTGGCTTTGAGGCTGGAGGATGCTTTGGACGGCTCATTCTAGCAGTCCTTGGGTGAAGAACCAGAGAGGTCCTCACTTCCAAGGGCCCCATCCCCTCTTCTTCCTTGCATATCCCAGGGGTGGCTCAGATATGGATAACTCTGCTTTATGACTAAGGGGAGGGCTCTGCAAACAGGGATGCTCCAAGCGCAGCTCTCCCCAGTGCAGATATCGAGGCTGTGATTTATGTGTGAGACATTTCTAAAGGAGGCTGCAGATTTAGTGCAAATCAGTTTGGGGGCTGGAGGTAAAAGAGCAGTTGAAATCTCTCTGCGCACTCAGTTGGGAGGAACTGACGCAGAAGGCAGCAGATGATGGCAAAACATACACATACTTAGTAAATGTGATTTATTTCCTCCCTCATCACCTCATTTTGAAGAGAGATCCAGATCGCATTTGTTTGGTAGCCATCTTTATTATCATCTTCCACCTTTTTATAAAAGATCTGGGACAGGAAGAGTACTCTGAGTTATAAAGCATACATGGGAATTAGAGTATGTCTGGTTTGGCTTTCCTTATTCAACGGTAAAACACATTTTGTTTCCTGTCTGTGTGCTCCTACCCGCCTCCGTCCCGCTGTTTTATCCGTCTGTCAAAACTAGGTTGACATCTGGGTCCTAACCCAGTGAAGTCGAGAGCAATTTAAGTGGTCCCATCAGCTTTAAAGGAACTACTCACCAGCTGGAGTCTCAGCCACCCCACAGCCCGAGACGGAGCCAGGGCTTCTCCCACCGCGTGTAAAATGATGTGAGATCAGGGCCTTGGACTATAAACACTTCACACAGTTGGGTCTTCGTGTCCCGTTGTCTGGATGAGATGTCTCTTCCTCTTCTAGATGTGATTTCAGGTGCAGGCAGCTCCAGCCCCGGCCATGCTGTTGGGTTTTCATTTCCAACTCCTTTTCTGATGTTCAGATGAATAAAAAAGAAGAAAGTGAGCGATAAGCAAGGGCTGTTTGATATGATGGATTAAGAAAATCAATGTTTGATATGATCGATTGCTGTTCCTCCTTCACACCCTGTAAGCCTTTTCCCTCCCAAACCCATTCTTGTTAGATCGGAACACATTAAAATCCTTGCATTGACATGAAAATCTCACCAGCTAATACCTGCAGAAATGAGGGTTTCTGTCTCCTGCAGGGGGTTATTTTATTTTGTGCATCCTGGAGTGATCTTTAGTGATTCCCTTCTTGGGAATCTGTCCTGCCACCCCCTCCAGTGACTGGAAAAGTCAGATCCTCTGACTGAAAAGAACTGGCCACATTCAGATACTTGGTCAATTTAAAAGCATGCTCTGGAAAAAACAGGAATCTTCCATCCCTTTCCCCTCAACTCTCCCAATGTGAATGAGTAGCCCCTGCCATGCCCTTGATTTGCTTTCCTCCATGAAGATCCCTAACTTCTGTGGAGAAAGGCACCTTTCCCTAATGCCACGTTTCACCCTTTCTCACCTGTTCTCAGTCCTCCAGCCAGCACCTACGCTCCGGTTATCCCCATTTGGTAGAAGGGAACTTGAGACAATTTACTCCAACAGCAGCTTGTCTGTGCCAGAGCCCAGGACTGGACCCAACATGGCTCTGTTAGACCCATACTTCCCCACCTGAGCTCTGAGGAGAACAAAAGAAGAGCCACAAATACCTGCAGGAAAAATAAAGCAAGAACAAACACATGTGCAGACACAAGCAGGGGAACGAGCAATTGTGGGAAATAAGCTGGTCAATGAACTTTTACTTGGACTGTACAATACAACCACGAGGAAATGCTTAAAGGAAAAGAATCTTTTCCAAAAGGCTGCATGGCTTTTAAGCTTAAAAAGGAAAGGAGGAGGATGATACGACCTGGTTGAGCTCACCTACTGCCCCTGTGGAAAAAGGCTTTCATCCCACTCTGCTGTTTGAAATTCTTTTAACCAAGTGACGAAGTTGAAGGCTGCAATTTTTACTCCACTTGTGGGATACGTGGAGGGATCTGCCACTGCATTAATGGTGTAGATATTTCCACCTGTCTTCTCAGGACATAGACACGTATCTACATGTAAAGCTGTGACCTGGCTATAAAAGTCCTCCCCGTTTGTCCAGCCCACCCTGATGCAGCAGCTCCCTTACCTGTTCCAGGCCGGGCTCTCCACAGGTGGGCATCTGCCTTAGAGGTGATGCTCAGCAGCAATGATTGAGGACAGTGTGAAAGCCCGCAGCTTTTTTTGGTGCTGATAAAGCAGCCAACAGTCTCCCAGCTCTGGTATTGGCATATGCCATGGATGGGGGGGCTGCGGTTCTACTCCACCAGGTCTGGAGCGCAGGATGAAATCTGAAGAGGTTTTCTGTGAAACTCTGCAGAACTTTCTGAGTCCGGTGTCTTCCTTCAGCTTCAGCCACGAGCTCAGTCCCTCTGCAGTAACAGAGAGGATGAAATCTGAAGAGGTTTTCTGTGAAACTGCAGAACTGTCTGAGTCCGGTGTCTTCCTTCAGCTACAGCCACGAGCTCAGCCCCTCTGCAGTGATAGAGAGACCCCACATTCTTCCTCTGTCCACCCCTAAGATGCCATCCCTGTCCCGCATCCCTTGCCCACCCCACGGGAGGCACCTGCGGGCATCCCCGAGCTCTGCAGCCCATCTTCCTTTCTCCTAGGGGAAAAGCAGATATTTTTCCCAGGACTTCCTTACGCAGGAGATTGCACCAGGCTGCAAAGTAACTAAACCGAGGGGATTGGTTTTGGGGAGAAACCCCCGGCTGTTGCCACCGCTGCGTCCGGCGCCGCCGCTGAGTGCTTTTCCCGGGGAGAAAGAATAAAAAGACAACGAAATCCAAGCAGCGGGGGGGTCCCGGCCGGAGGTTACCTGCTCTGCTGCTGGGGGCCGGCTGCGGCACCGAACTCGCCCTGATTTGGTGGTCGGGAGTCGTTTCGTTTAGTTTTTCTCCTGGGAGGACCCGTCGGTTACCAGGAAAGCGAAGCGGGAGGCAGAACGGCCCGGGGGCGGGCCCCCCCGCCGCGCTGGCACCCGGGACCCCCGGGGGAGGGACCTCTGGGGGGGACACGGCTGCCAAACCAAACCCTGGGGAGAGGCTGGGGGATTTAGCCCTGGGACTCAGGACCCCTCCCCAGGGGCCGCCTCCTCCTCCTCCCGCCGGGGGAGAGGGGTCGGGGCGGGCCGGGCACCGCACGCCCCTCCGGGGGGTGGGGGGGGGACATCCCTATATATTGCAAAGCGACTCGGGACCGACCTCCCCATCGCCGGGAGCTGCCGCGGCGCCTGCCCCCCCTTCCCCTCCCTTTCCCCTTTTTCCCTCCCCTCGGGGGGGGCTCTTTCTCCCGTCTCCC